AGCTGTCATTTGGATATAGCCCTGGAAGAAAGCCACGAAAGAGATTTTGTTTTGTAGATGATATCACTGGGATACTGAACGTGGAAAACCCAGACATCCTTTTTCTCATTCTTGTTGCTTTCATGGAAAGAAGTATGTGCACATCTATAGTAAATAAGCAAACTGGCACCCAGCGCTGAATTTGTGCAATCATCTTTTTACAAGCACAGAAATAGCTGGGGGGGGGGGGGGGGGAGGGCGGGGAGAAGGACAGGGGAAGAAAAAAGAAAAAAAAAGAAAAAAAAAAGAGAGAGAGAGAGAGAGAGAATATTTCAGACTAAGAGACAAGGTTATTTTCAACAAAAGCCACACAGCTGCTGTCTTAACACAAGTGAGTCGTTTTTTTTCTGAGGGAAGTGCTGACAATGTCCCCCACGAGCAGATGTCACTCTCCCCTGGGGACCTTTGTGGTGGAAAGAGAAGGGGCTCCAAAGGCAGGGTGCCCAGTGAAGGTGTCTCACAAGCCATGTGCTGCTGGCTGAAATTCATGTGGGGAAGTGCTGGCAGAAGCTTTCTGATCCAGGCATAGAAACCTTTCTCTTCCTGCCTGTTTCTGTTTATTTTTCATTTTGATATTTGGATTGATTCTACTCCTAGGCTTTACATCTATTTCCACCAGGGATCCACAGTCTATTGGGACTGTACATATTCTTAATATTTTTGATATTAAGGGAACACCTAGAACAACATAACCCTGCCCATAGTTGGAGTTAAAACATTAAACACAAATGAAAAATGAGAGAATTGCAGTATGATCAGCAGGCACTCCTTTTTGAAATGTTAACTTGCCATCCCCAAAACATTCTTTTAGGGGATGATTATTGCAAAGCCCAGCTGGTATTGTCAGTGTGGTGAAATGGCAAGGGTCAGCTCAGGGTGGTAACTGAGTAGCATAGTTCAGGGCAGGAATATGACCTGTATTAGCCTGGAATAGGTACAAAATGTCCGTATATACATTTGTGAATTATACAAGCTGCAGAGAAGGTATGTGGGAGGTGCATACCAGAGAGAAAAGGAGAGAAACTGCAATGCTAGCCCATCTTTGTGAGCAGCTTTAAAATAACATCTCTCCTTCACATCAAGCTGCCTGTTCAGTGTCACCATAGTGACTCCAGTCACCGGCCACCCAAATCTCGCATCTTCCTTCAGGTGTCACCCCAACAAGAAACCATTGCCCCTGGAAGCGCCACTCCTTGAGAGCCCCGAGGGGAAGCCCCCTGGACCAAGCAGCCTTTGCACTAACACTTCCACTCCCTGACCCACATACAACACCTTTGCTCTTCTACGGGATGCTGCAATGCCTCTACACAGGCAGCAGAACGCAGGCTACCAAGCTTATAGAAAGAGAGAAACATATCTGGTGCCCAGCACAGCATTCCTGGTACCTGCCTCCTGTTTATAAATGAAGAATTTGAACACATAAAACAGGATGATCATGTTTTCCTGGAAAGCAGGATGTTGCCTGTGTGGTGTCTCCCTACAGCATCAAGACAGAGTAGATTGTTTTGATTGTAGATATTCTTTCAGATTAAAGAAACAAAGATGAAAGTCCTTGGCTTATGTGTCTGGTGTCGATCTTTATAGGCATTGCCAAGCAGAAGGCTAAGGGGGCAGCCCCCCACCCATGGGCACCAAGCGGCGTGTCCCCAGCTAGAGCAGGATCTTAGCCATCCCTGTTCTCCAGCCCCCGTGGGCTTCCCACCACCTCCTCCCTTCCCATCCTTGGACATCTTCAGCATTCCTCAACGCACAGTGTCAAGGAAACAGAGAAATGGTCATGCCTATTCCCAGCTCTCAGCTACTCCAGTTTCTCCTTGACATCTGCTGGGAATGATCCTCTGCTCTGCCATAATTTATGCAATTCGCTCAGCAGGGCAAGCTTCACTGGTAAAATATAGAAAATATAGAAATCTTTTTTATTATCTGTAGGGAAAACCATTTCTCCAAACTATAGCAACATTCATTTCATATACACCCTTTTTATGTGCAATGTACAAACATTTTGAGGTCCTTTTCTAATATTTACTACTGACTCACCAGAAACACAGATCCCTCAGACACAGATGTGATGCAAGGTGAATGGTGACACCATTTGAAGCAACTAGCACCTATGAAGGAAGCAGAGGGATGAAAACAGCCTCCTTGTCATTCATGGTAAATCCACGCTCTAGGCATGTCTTTGAGAGGTTTTAGAATACCTTATAGGTCTTCCGGGAACGATGGGGTGCAGAGCAGTCAAAATCATGTTTTTCAATGCCTAAAGGGAAGCAGAGCCCTTTTCAAAGTTTGATAGTGATTGTGAGTGCCAATAAAATGGAAATCTGGACTTAGACTCTACTGAGAATCTCATTTCATCTTTCTGTGCCTCTTTTTCCCCAAGTGTAAAACAAGGGAAAATATTTTATGAGTGTTGCAAGGATAAATATATGAATATTTGCTGAGATGCAGTGATGATAGAAGCTACAGATATAAATAGGATGAATATTACATGGGGAAAAAAAAAAAAAAAAAAAAAAAAAAAAGGTCTTTTTTTATCCATATAGTGTATTAATGACTAAGAACAGTGGAAGTTGGTCCAACTGAATTATTAAGCACACAAAAAAGCATATGACAAATGTTACCCTTTTGTCTGTAAATTATTTGCAATTGGATATTGTCATCATGTTTATATGTCCTGTATATGCTTGAATATTATTTGACAAATTATAGTACTAAGTCTGAAACAGAAATGACTGCTGAACACAGTTACTTCATTACTCTTCCTAACATTAGAGAGAAAAGATATTTTCTTAAACTGGTTAATAAGCCACAAGTGATCAGCAGTCTGGCTTGCTTATAGATCACTGGGAGATGGTGAAGCTTGTTTTCCATTGATATATCACATATTTCTGAATGGAAAAAGCTGCTGAGACAGCCTTCAGCTCAGACTATACATATATTTCTAGGATTGGAGAGAAAGACCTTTAACTGTGCATATGACACCTTTAGGAGAGAACTTTTTTGGAGTAAATATGAATAAAACACTATCTTTCACGCAACCTGGTAAAGCAATATTGAAATTTTACCTGGATAAACAAATGTCTTGAAATAAGCTTGCTCATCATTCACTGTTAAATCTTAATTGTTGCTTATTTCAATTCCTTTGTGTTAAATATTTCTAAATTATAAATAGCCATGCAAGGGTCATAGTAATATGTATTCTGCTAATAAAAGGTAAGTACAGAAATAAATTATTAAAGTGATCTATTTAAATATTACCATACCTGATGTATCTGAAGAGTTGGAGATCAAGGCAGCCACATAGACAAATTTGAAGAGATATTGACAGGGAGTCCAGAGATAAATCATGAAGCTATATTGCATAAATAGATTTTGTGTATGAGTTACAGAATTGTCGCAAAATGATCTTCACTCTAAAGCTTGATTTTTCTCCTTTTAAGGTCATTGGCAAAATGTCTCGACCTTAGTGAGAGTAAAATTATATCCTAAGTACATACATCACTGCTCTGTTCTCCCTGTGATCCAAGCACTGATCTGTGATTAACATTAAAGAGAGCAAGTCCAGCTGTAGGCATTTTCATGCCCTAAGCAAGCATCAAGTACAAGATTCCTCCTTGTCATGTCTCCTCTTTTTCTCTTTCATCTCTTTTTTTTTTTTTTCTTTTTTGACTTAATTTGCTTGCAAGAAATTCTTTTGTGCCTTAAGGAGGGATGATTTTGTGATTAAGGCATTTGATGAAGATTCAGGTTCAATTTCCAGGCCTTCCATATAATAATTACCCTTGGTAGGTCACTTAGTACAGTGTCTTGCAGAACTGCAATGCCAATAAAAAAAATGGACCACAAACCATTCTCTGTTGCTGAGACCAAGCAGCATTAAAGGGACAAAACTTTATGGACACATCCAAACTGTTCATTTGGAATGATGTCTGGTCTCTGCTTGCCTGTGTATCTTGTTCAGGCAGCATTTAGAGAAGTGTTTGTTGACCCGAGTCAAACCCCTGCCAGGGAGCATGCTGAAAGTAAAACGGCCCAACATGGCTTTGTTTGTCTGTCTAACATACAGCCCTCGTTTCCCACCTGGTAAAACAGGGCTTCTCCTGTGTTTCAGACAACTTGTGCAGCCCCAAAATAGAGGTGAAACCACAAGAGGATGATTTCTTCCATCCTCTCATTGCTCAAGCAGGCCAGTAAAGGAGGGCAGGGCAGGTGGACTTCAGCCAGAGACTTTTGATCTGAAGACCAAGTGCTGAGCACAGCAAAAGCTACCAGCAAGGAGATAGCACTGTGGCAGTGCTATAGTTGAAGGAATTGTAAGTAGATTGCAATCCAAAAAGAAAGAAAGAAAGAAAGAAAGAGAGAGAGAGAGAGAGAGAGAGAGAGAGAGAGAGAGAGAGAGAGAGAGAAAGAAAGAAAGAAAGAAAGAAAGAAAGAAAGAAAGAAAGAAAGAAAGAAAGAAAGAAAGAAAGAAAGAAAGAAAGAAAGAAAGAAAGAAAGAAAGAAAGAAAGAAAGAAAGAAAGAAAGAAAGAAAAAGAAAGAAAGAAAGAACTTACTAAAGGAAATCTAGGAGCAGCTGAGCAGCTGAAAATACAGTGAATAATAATGCATAAGACTCCAAGTCTAGAAGAGAGAGAGGATGAAATAAGAGGGCATGAGAAAAATACCAAGTGTGGTCTCTGTCTTTAAAATATAAAACATTGTTGAGCAGTGGTCAACATCAGATATATCATCCTATGTGCCTGTGATCTTTGTGCATGGCTGTCAGAGCAGATGCTTAGTCTGCAATCATTTATGGAGTGTGGAATAAGGTGCTGTATGAGAGCACAAGACAAATGTATTTCTCATCACCTGTGCTATCCAGCATTCCCTTAACACTGCTCTTGAATGGTTTATTGATAAAGGCTTTGTAACAACTCACTTCTCCTTTTGCCTTTTCTAATTACCTTCGTCTCTTCTTTAGAGGTGCAGCAGAAAGTGTTGCTGGCTTGTTCTTCACTGGCTTGTGGGACAGTGCTTCAACTTTGGCGATGGACCAGAAGGACTGAAGAGCACTTTGGCTCCTACCCATGTTTCTCAGAGCTGCTAAAACAAGACCAACGAAGATGTTCACCAGACTCCAAGTCCTTGCTCTAGCTTTGTTTTCCAAAGGAGTTTTCCTTTCCCTAAGTGACCACAGCTTTGTAAGAAAGGAAATCAAGATAGAAGGAGACCTGGTCTTAGGTGGCTTATTCCCAATCAATGAAAAAGGCACCGGGATAGAAGAATGTGGGAGAATCAATGAAGACCGAGGCATACAGCGCTTAGAGGCCATGCTGTTTGCCATTGACGAAATCAACAGAGACAACTACTTGCTACCAGGAATTAAGCTTGGAGTCCACATCTTGGACACGTGTTCCAGGGATACATATGCTTTAGAACAGTCTTTGGAGTTTGTCAGGGCATCTTTGACTAAAGTGGACGAAACAGAATATATGTGCCCAGATGGCTCATATGCCATTCAAGAGAATTTACCTTTACTCATTGCAGGAGTCATAGGCGGTTCCTACAGCAGCGTCTCCATACAGGTAAGACCCAGTATCCCTGGCAGGTGAGAATCTTTTATCTACCATTCCTGTGAATTTCTGCTCATATAGGATGGACAAAAATCAAGTCTTAAATCAATTAGTTTACCCTGAGGTTCAATCTAGCGTATAATCCTTTACTGAATTTGTATTAGTTTGATTTATCCTTTAAAACACTTGCTGTAGTTCAGCTGCAGAACATCTCTGCCAGCTGCTCACTTCCTCTAGTCAGGATGTATCCTGGGAGCATCTGAATTTTCCTCAAGTCTAAGTATTTATTTTGAACTTTGGATTTCATGAGACTTCTATATACCTATGCTTAGATCTCTGCTTTCACATCAATAATAAATAATGACATCTATATTTCTGGATATATGTATGCCTGTCATGCTATGTTTACATGCTATTTGTCATGTAAACAGTAGAGATTTAAAATGAAAGAAGAAATCTTTGTCCTACTTCCAGGGTGTAATAAAGCAAAAAAGGCACACTAGCCAGAAACTAGAATTACACCTGACCCGAGGGATTACAAGCATTTACCATCTAATTAAGCACACTGAAGTCAGTGAAAATTATTCTGCTGACTTCAACGAGCGAGGTCTCAAATATCGCATGCAGACAATACAGTTTCTAAATGGATTCTAAATTTCTTCTCATTCCTTTAGTTTTCATATGTTATTCATACAAAGAAAGATTTTGCCAGGAAATGTTGCCTGTCAGAGTCCAGTGTAAGCACCGTCAGAAGTCCAGCACAGAAGGCAGATGCCCTCAGTATTTCTTGCTTCCTTTTTCTGGCACATTGTGTATAAGCACAGATTTGTTTCAACAAATCACTTTTTTTTTTCTCTCTTTTTTTGGTGCAGTGCATGCCTTGTCTGTGTAACCACAGAAGGGAACAAGTGGACAAATAGTTACTCATACTACAGGAGAATAGTTTTGGCTGAGAAAAAGTTCAGCCGTCTCTTAGAGAAGTGGTTTTGTCCTACCATGGACCAGTTGGGGTGGCAGGGAAGTATCCAACAGACGTTATGTGGATATGATCGCTTTAAGTTCAAAGAACAAGTTCCAGGTCTGGAAAAGACATCTGAAGAAGAGAAATGACAGCTACAAAACCTTGATTAACAGAGAGCATTAGGGAAATCATTATCCATTGTGTCTTCCAGTCAGACAAAGGGTACATCGAGTGAAAGCAGCAAATGGCATTCTATTGTGAATGCTAAAAATTAACCCAGCTTAAGAAGTGACTAGGAAAAATCAGGACATTCTGTGTAGATACCATCCTTGGCTCATCAGTTCCCAGAAATGCAAGTATCTCAATGCTGGTAAAATATTTAGAGGAAGAGATATTACATGTTTACCTAATCCCACTGGTGGAGAGGCACCAGTGACTTCACTGTACCTTTGGTCTGGCTGTTTGCAGCCAGCCTGTTTTTCAGTCCTCTCTAAATTCAAGCATGTCCAAAGGACATAAAGTAGCCTAAAGGGCATATCCATAGAAGTATTTACCATGGAGGGAACGGTACAGGCATTTCCTTCCCTCCCAGACACCCCGAGGCAGTCACACCACACTCCTAAAATGTCCTAGGGCTTCTTCTACAACATCTGTCAGTCTGTCCCTTTGAAGCCAGTCTCTGACTGACGCAAGATTAAATCCATATGTGAAGAGGCAGATTGGATGCAATACACATTGAATATATTATATGTACCGATATCTCAAATTCCAAAAGCTTGGGTTTGGAGCAGCTGTCAGATGGAAATCAGAAGTCCTGATAAGAGACTCTCTCATTTTGTATATGTGAAAAATGGCAATAAAAGTGTATGCATATCTGTATATGCACCCAATTTTCAAAAATTATTAATAATGATGAAACAATAGAGTACTCTATACATAGTTTCCCTATAGTTGCCAGTAGTTGTTCAAACATAAGATCTTTCTTGCACGGCTCTTTAGAAAAAAATAAATAGATTCACAAATTATGTTGTGTGTCATTGAGTCTATTTTCCAGCTAGAAAAGAACTACTCAGTAGATTACTTCCCCTTGACATAGATTAGGTTAGCTGTTCTCCAGTCCATTTCTTCTAACTTTCCTCTAGATTTCAAATTATCTAGAAAATATTTAATAAAGACATTAATTCCTTTTGCTCATATAGCTAAGATAGCTAGTCGTGTCTTCTTTCTGAAAAGAAAATCTCTATCGAGAAAAAGGGGCACTGCAGGCTCAAGCCTGAAGACATAAGGACTTCAGAGCACTAAAACCAAACATTTTGGTGCCATTCCAGAAGAGGCTGTCAAATTTACAAATACTGTCACCTGTACACCATAGCTGCAGCAGCAGCTGTAATCCTTTCCCTGCTGAATGTGAGAGCACCTTGGTAGGTGCAGGTATGAGGCTGAGCACCCCCTGGTCCCGTGCTTCCAAACAGCCCTTGGGGTGCTGGGGGCTTTCCCTTGTAGCCCTGACAAGTGTTTCTCTTTTGCCTGAGAGCTATAACCAGCATAAAGTCCACAGCACAGTTTCTCAGCCTTAAAATAAACTGTGCTGAGCCCTTCAGACAAGAAACTATTTTTTTTGTTTTGTTTTGTTTTTTTCCTCCCATGAATTCATCATTATATTTCAATACCTCCTCTTCACCTCCGTTCACCTTCCCTCTCCAGATTTCTGTCCGGACAGCTGTCTGCAAAATCACCTCATGATGCTCCTGCTGTCAGATTTCTGCTTCTTTCATTATCCTTCCACCAAGGAAAAAAGAATTTGCTGGTAAACCAGCAACGAACACCTTCCCCACTGAGTCAGTGTGCACGATAGGCACTTTTGCAGAGAGAAAAACAAGAGAATGCAGAATGCTTAATTATTTTCTGGTCAGACTAGGCTATTATCGTTAATGATGATCTGGATAATTAGTTTTTAGATGGTGTGTTTAAATTAGCAGTGGGTCCAATCTGCACAGCATTTGATCCCTCAAAATCCAAGTCTAGCTTCTCAGTCAGTGGAAAAGCTTATTTTAAAAGTTTTTTTCATGATAAAAAAAATCTGACCAGAACTGATTCTGGGATCAGAAGGTGAATTCTCCAAAGTTTGGAGGACTTTATTTTGGGATAGTGGTTTTCCAGCCTAGCCAGATTGTCTGCTGTCTCCTAGTTCACAACACAAATGTCAAACATATTTTCCTTGGAGAAGTTTAATGACATTGTAAAAAGGATAAGAAAAAAGCATTGCTCATTTGCATAGAGGAGCACCTGCTCATAATTCAAATGTCATGTTTAAAATACTCAGGTCAGCTCTGTCAGGAATAAGCCTGTGTAAGCAGGAATATGACTATTCAAGCATTGGTTTTGTTCACCCGTTATCTTCTCTGTTTCTGAAAACTGGACCTATCTTCTGAAAATGAAGATTGTGCTGCATTCCCTGCAGCCAGCTCTCTTAAAGACATTATTTTAGCTGGGCTGGGCTTTGTATTTTTATATCCACAATATCCATGCTGATGTAGGGCTCTAGCCATATGTAAAGTTTTCTTTAAGTTACTGACCCACAAGATCTTCAGATGGAAGTCATGGAAGGTTATTCCCAATTTAGAGCTTCATCCAGAAAAAATGCACAGAGTACAAACCATTGCCCAAATGACTTCTCTTGAATTCCTCTTTGTGTCTCAAACCATAGCAACAAACATTGGAGAAGGTTTAAAGTTACACTACTGCTATCACAAAAGCTAAGGTCTCTCTAAGTGAGTGACCATCTGGTGTGGAATTTGGAGTATGTACTCATTTACTGGCAATCTTTTCTTGGCTGTCATTTCTCTTTAGTCACACAAATTGGCCAAGGGCTTGTTGAGCCTGAAAACTAACCACCTACGTTTCCTTTCTCCAGGAATTAACCATCTTCCTTCCATCCACAGAGCCTAAACAATAGCCTGTGATTTCCCTGCCCACTGAAACCAATGCAAAATCCTCTTAGAAGGACTACATGCAAGAAAATGTTGTAACATAAGTGGTCCTGCCACCCTGCATTAGGAATACACCATAGGGAAATGGACAACATATGTGTGTGAGGGGCTGCCAGTGTTCACCAGGGACCACAGAGCATATATGCCATTTGTGTCGTGCTGTGTAGAAAAGCTTTCAATTGAACTGTGCAACATCCTTAGGTGATTTTGTGCTTATAACATTAACCAGATCCTTAGTGAAGGATCTTTTCTGTGAAAAGGGGCATCTGCCACTAATATTTAAGTTACATATGTTCTTTCTGACTTCTGTCTCCTTCAAGCTCCTTCCCCCTTTCATCTCAGTTCTTTCTCTCCCTCCTCTACCCCACAGCCAGGTCCTTTCTGTTTGTTCCTCTCTTTGTTTCTGTTCCACATTCAGAAACTGAGCATCCGCTAGGTTGAGGTTTTCAATGTGCCCAAACAGCATAGGACATGTGTTTCCTAAAGGCTTCAAAGAAATCTAGGTATACCTCCTTCTGGCTGCTTTCTTTGAAAATCTCAAGCTAACTGATGCTTTTGCAGTTTTGTTTGCTTGTTTGTTTGGGATTTTTTTCCCCTTCTGTGCGAGCATTTTCTCTTCTTGCCACATGGAAATGACTTTACAGGGGTGGGTAGCCATCCCCTGAGCTCACAGGTAAGGAGAAGGGAGCTTACCACGTTCCAAGTAAGAAAGGATGTAACTAAAAGAGAAACCGTCCAAGAATAGGAACTAGTTAGGGACATCTTGGCACCACCCACATTCATTCTGTCCCTTCTGACTAGGACTTATGCATCAGTTAATGAGTCTGAAACAACCATGTTTATCAATGATGGCTCTTTTAACTTCAGGAACTATTTCATGCTTTTAGAACCATCAACTGCAGTTTTAGTTCCTTTCTTTCAAAGCCTGTCAGCAGTGTAAACATGACATGAGTCACTTGTAGTCAGATTTAGGAAGTCTCAGAGTAGATGTCTCACTCCCCATGCACAAAGCAAGGTCTTCTGCACAGGTCTCTTCTCAGTGTGTTGGCTTAGCTCTAAGC